CATTTTAAATATTGTGTTGCTATCCTAAAAAAATAGATAAAATTTCTAGAGTAGACATTTTTTTATAAAATTCGACACGCTAACGAGGGAAGCCTTTTACGGTATTTTACTTTATATAGCCAACTGCATTAAGTCGGAAAAGCATTTACTTAAAAAAGTTATTTTTTAAAATAAATCTAATAGCATAACACAACATTCACGCCTTTTAACCTCGAAGGTGTAGGCAGAGGTGCACAATATGGCACCAATACCTTGTTCGTACTATGCTAGTACTTTAGTCGAGTAGCGAGTGTTTAGCATATTCTGTCCTATCCCTCTCGCTTCTGTCCCAAAATCGAAGCGAAAGAGAGTAACTAAATCATAAACGCTAACAAAACGGTTCTAAAACGAGGTTTGTCACCACAGGGCTGATGCCGATTCGGAGTCGCGGAGAACTTAACGGGTTACCGGGGCTCCGGCTCAAGGCGCAGGCGAAGGAACGGGGTGGTTTTTAGTCAGTAAGAGTCTGACACTCGCTCCCGCCTCACCCAGGCCAGGAAAAGTCATTCGATGATTTTACCCCCTTAAAAAAAAAGTATACAGTGGTTCTTAACTTGAGGTTATTGCTGGTTCTTTACTTATCAAGTAAAGAAACAGCGTTTACTAACTATAAGATGATATTCAATTATCTACCAAATAATCTACCAAAAAATAAAATACCAAATTATACTTCCAGAGACATAAAAATAATATCATACCTTTTATCCTAAGAGGTGCACGTTACAGCACTTAAATACCACTGAACAATGTGACACTTTTCACAATTCATGTTATGAGTCCCATGTAATAGCGGGTGATCCTATTGCCATAATTATAACACAATTCCAGACACTGTGCAACTACATACTGACTTTAAAAAAAAAACCAGTAGTACTTTGCCCGAATCGAACCCGAGACCCCTTGCCCGGCCAGTCGCACTTGCGACCACTCGGCCAAAGAAGGAGTCAACACAACAACTTCTAGAGACACTCTGTATAATAAAGATTATGATACATCGATAAATTATATCCCAAGGTCATTGAACCTATATAATAAAATCTATCTATAACAAGATTTAGAAGTAGGCTCTTATAGTGCTAAAGCGCTGTAGGCTTCACAGTTTCGGATAGACGTTGATAAATGACCCGTTCATCACGCCGTCCTTAGTTTTTATACAACGAAATACATACATATAAATAAATATATAAATATTTGATGTTGATCGAATAGATTGCTATGGAATTTTCTCGAAAAAAAGTGTTGTGAGAAAATATTCGTGTATTTAGTCTGTAGGCGACGGGAACGTCTTTTCCAATCGAGTGATTGCTCTCGAGTAGGATAAAGTACTGTTGTGTTGATGTAGTGTTTTGAACTATGGTTGTTTTTTGTAAAAAGTTAGTTCAATCAAACCTTTTCTTTGTAACTCATTATAATGTTAGTGGATTAATGATTAAACGACTTGCATTGATTTTACTGACATATATTATTTTACATTTATATTAGACCCCACGTCGAGTCCACACAAAAAAGTAAGGCAGAGAGATGGTGTCTTTGTGATAGTTGTTAACATTATAATGCAATTGGGATGATGACAGGGTATGAAAATTAAAAATCTAATTAGTCCATAAGTTAAATGAAAAAATATTAGACACGTATTTTTTTATTTTGTCGTATAATAAAACAATACTTAGATAAATCGAATCAAAGTTTAGGAGTGGGGGCTAAAACGTCATATTTACGTAGACAATGTACATAGAAGTGACGTCACGCGACATTTCAAATCAATGTATTATCGAAAGTATTCGTTTCTGTAAGAAAATAAAAAAAACGTGTCTAATGATTTAAAATTTTCTACCAGACGGACATTAAAAATAAAAATTAGGCATCTACTCTATATGTAGGGTTGGAGCCACCACTTACTAAATTAGTGATGTTCATGCTTGTAACAACTTAATTTTCTTCATTAGTTTAGTAGTTTTCTTGCAATGTGAAGGTATCATCTTTTGAAGTGGCCTATATTCCTATAGTGGAAAATTACGAGCTCTTGACGATGATATAAATACGTATGTTTGAACTCACAAATCTTTCTATATATTCCAGCATACCTATATAAATCTGTGGAAAATAAATATATTAAAATCATGTCCCAAACAAAATGAAAGAAGTAATGATAGTACAAGTGACTTGAAATCAAATGCTAATCAAAATCCTTTGAATGAATCAGTAATTAATTTTCCTTATTATTAATTACTTAACCTTAAGTGCGAATGATAAATCCTTATACTATTATAAATGGGAAAGTGAGTTTGTTTGTTTGTTCCGTTTTCACGCCGTAACTACTAAACCGATTGCTTTGATTTTTTGGCAGACGTAAAGTTAGAAGTCTGGATTAAATAATAGGGTACTTTTTATCCCGGAAAATTTTGATATTCCCGAGGGAAAACAAAAGAATTGGTATAGATGGCGCTGTATGTATTTTATCCTTTTGTGACGCGAGCGAAGCCGCGGGTAAGCGAAGCCGCGGGTAAGCTAGTAATGAATAAATATTAATTTAGAATCTAGTTTCAAGTCTTCCATGATTAATATTATTCTCTATTTACGTATCAAAACGAGATTTGCTTAATGAATAGTTCTATATGAGAAAATGTGTACCTAACTTATGTGTTGATCTAATTGATGCTCTTGATACATTATAATATTATGATAGTATAATAATTGTGTAGGAAAAACCATCTATCGTTATACTAGAATAAAAAACCAAAATTGTTTATTGTGCAATACCAGCTATAAGACAGCTAGTAGGTACTGAACATACGCCTCAATGAATATATTTTAAATCGACTGCACGGTGGGTGCGGTGGCTGGGCAACCGGCTGCCGTGCAACGTGTCGCGGGTTCGATTCCCGCACGGAACAACACTTTGTGTGATCCACAAATTGTTGTTTCGGTCTGGGTGTGTTTGTAAACGCATCCACGACACAGGAGAAAATCTAGTGTGGGGAAATGTTTAAAAAAAATATATTATAAGTACATTTGAGAAACCAACAGCGATTTGATTAAATAGTATGTGGCATGCAACAAAAAGCCAATTACTGGTTTCCACGATTAATAAAAACTTGCCATCCTAATACTAAAACTACAAATAATAATTAAACTACAGGCAGGAATATGAATGAATGATCAACGGACAGTTCTATTATAAAAATACCTGCTTATGAATTAATTCTCATAACCCTTTTTTTTCTTCTTTGGCAACCGAGTCCAAAACGGTAGTTTTTAGTATTGCAAACTCAAGTACACATACCTACGTATCAACAATGTCCACAAAATTGGAACTGTCATCGAGCATGTACAAAACTATGAGGATAATGTACCTAACTGCCTACTCTTTAACTCCTACGTTTACCCTTTTTACTGTGGTTGACAGGTGACATCTTGTGCCCATAATCATATGAAAGGGACCACAATATACTTCAGCATTGACCGTATCTCAAAGAGATTTATAATTCCCCTCCGAAGGTGTCTTGTCGATATTCCTCGCTCGTTCACGTTCATTGAATATTGGTTTCTCGTATATTATATGCGAATAGACAGGTACGAATTGTGTTTTGTCTGGAGGGAGGTAGGTATTGGAAGTTTATGGAGTGATGCTGTGGGTTCTAATTGTTTTTTTTTTAGTATAAAGTGTGCCGTGAATTTAGCCACATTAGTGGTCCTGAGCTAAATTGCTGCTAATTCCGTAATCTAGCTGGGAAGGGAATGTCTTAGGATTTCAGTGTATTAATATATAACGGCAAATGATCAAAATAATCTGTACAACTATTCCAATATGTCTATCGTCTACCCCATCACTGTCCGGTAGAAAACAGTAATTGTATCACAACGCAAAGATAATTACGAAACCACATTTATAAGCACAAACTCAAATTGAAAGCTGTAAACCTATATCAAACCCTGAAGACCGAATAATAAATACTAACTTTCCCTCATGAAGTTATCAAGTATCATCATGGCCGAAGTTGGGAACAGGGAAAGTAATAATAACGCGTACATTTCACTTTTACCCGAAAACTCTTCATCCTACGATAGGCCGGTGTTCGGGCAGAAATTGGACATAAAAAAAACTATTTATTGTGCCATAAATCTGAAAAAGTTTGAGCAAAGCCGACGCGGGAGATTGTGTGAATGAAACCTTTGTGGTTTTATATGAGAACCGTAAACTGTTCAACGTTCCTCTGTGTAGGAAAATTGTGTAAAAGTTTACCCAGTGTAAATAAATATAAATACGTCATGAAATAATGTTTTTATAAACAACACCTACACATCGAGCATTTCTTTCTTTATTGAAACAAAGAGTTTCCTTTTCTTACATAGAAGCACTATTTTTATGGATTGTCAGTATGCTTATGTGAGCACCATGTTAGACTATAAGACTTTTTTTTATTTTAAAAATTATTATTAAATTACCTATAATGCGTCAAGCGTGTTTTTGCATTGTTCTCATATATACGTACAGTATTAGAATATGTATCAGACACATTGTGGAACATAATTTTTTAAAAAGAGTAATGAATGGAGTTTCTTCTCGTTCTTCTTCATTTGAATTTACTTTTTGGAATGAGCACCTAGCTTCACCTAGCTTCAATGACAGACTGACTGACAGACTATTAATTATTGTTTAATTGAAATAAATGCTTTGACTTTGACTTTGACGTATAGGCTGCTAAAATCTACGAAACGTTATTTTGATACGTCTATCAATAGATTTTAAGTCTCTTCTAAACTGAAATTTATTTAATGTAGTAATGAAGACTAAATATAAAATATATAATTAATATTTAGCACTAAACCCAGTTGAAACTGAAACTCGATTGAGTAATTTACTCAAAACGATCCCCAAGAACAAACTTCATTTTGAACTCACTTTGAATTTAACATGCTTAGAAGCACCACTTTGTACTCAACATGTCTCTTGTTCCCAGGTGACCTCTTCGTGTTGGTATTTGCGATGGACAGTCGCGAGTCCTTTGAAGAAGTGATACGGCTTCGGGAGCAGATCCTGGAGACGAAGGCTAGTGCTAGCAGTGGGAGTAGCAGAGGTCGTCGCCAGGCACCCAGAGTTCCCATGGCCATTGCTGGAAATAAATGCGACAGGGATCTTAAGTAAGTATATAAGTGTATATAATAATAATATTGGGCTATGGTATATCCGATTTGTAGTGTTGCAAATTGTTTTTGACTTTAGTAGATGGCGTCACTATCGAGTTTGGTCATGTTTGTTAAACAATTTAAAATTGTTTGTGAACAAGTTTATGTGGATTTGGTTGATAATGGCTTGATCGCATCGCAGATGATTTATCGTTTTTATATTACAAATAAATGCTGATTCAAACAGCAGTGTCACGTTTAGTTTCATAAAGTTACAATATCTACTCTAAAATATATCAAAGTTCTAAACTTTTATCTCTCCAAGGAGAAAAAAGTCCAATAAATCCTAGATTATCCTAATTAGTTTTATAGCTCAAGTTAAAATTAATCCCGGTTGTCTTGATTAAAAGTTTTTATACCGAACGACTACACCGAAACGAAAAATTGTATTCGCTAAAGAAAACGTTTTAAAAGCAATTAATTCTTAATGTACTTAGAAAGAATTAAAGGGAACAGATGGCACTTCTAAGTAACTGATAAGTCAACAAAAACTGGTTTCGAGGTAATTTATTTAGCTTTACATCTAATCAAACATCGTTTTGGCTTTCGTTCAGGTTTTTGTACGAAAAAGAAATTTCTTTAAGATGTTTCCTCTCGCAAAACGTATTTTTACAGGATCTTATCTCTTTACCTTTCCTTAATTTTACTTTTTATCTGCGCACACCTAATTTAGAACATTCGATTTGATATCCCATTAGTATTTTACGTGTAACACATTCTTGATTAGATCGAACTTATTTATAAAAAATCTGATTTCTACCTTAATGAAATCACGGTATCGTTGGAAAACCTAATTGTCAAGTTAAAATAAAAAAGAACAGCAAATTATTTTTACAGTTGTCGTAGTGTGAACTAAGAATTAAAGATTGTGATGTTACTTAGGTGAAATCTTCTTTCTTCACAGGACTGTCCAACCCGAAGAAGCCGTAGCCTACTGCAACACCCAAGATTCATCCTGCGTCTTCGTTGAAACATCAGCGAAAAAGAACTTCCACGTCGACGATCTCTTCTATGAACTCTTCGTGGTCGCGAACCTACCTTTAGAAATGGCCCCGAATCACCATAAAAGGGTTAGTACTGCATTCGGCAGCCCTTGCACTTTACCCCCAACCAGTAGCCAAAGTAATAGGAGTAAGAAATGTACCCTTTCCATCAAGAGAAGATTATCAGACGCTTGTGGAGTAGTAGCTCCAAATGTTAGAAGGCCCAGCATCAGAACTGACCTAATGATAATGAGAACAAAGACTTGTGCCAAAGGAGACACGGACAGTACGAGCGGAAGCCCGAAGATAACCTTGAACCGGCTTGTGAGGTCTTCGGGACAGAGTGAAAAGCGTTCATGTGTTATACAGTGATATTTAATGTTAGGAGACTTGGTCTGATGAAAGATGATCGTTTCGATAGGTGCTATAATAGGACATGGATGAATTTGTATGCTGCAAAAGTTTTGGAAACTTCGAAATGCCTCCGAGGGTCCTTTTAGAGGCGTATATTGAGATTGGTACATCAAAATTCAAGATATGTGCATTTAAAATGGTGGTCTACCAAATTACGTTCTATGATGCAAAGATTCAATTTTAAGTTTTATGTTCGACAGAAGTCAATTCTGTTGAAGTGCTGAACCAAATTGCTCTTTAAACTTGAAAGCTATTTGCATTTGATGTAGTTTGAAAACTCTCTTTATGTTAATATTAAATCATGTATCATCAAACTCAGTGCTATGCATTCTAAAAGGACATTATATAAAGTGCTGGCTGATGCGAATAACGTCTTTAATTTCATATAAATGGAGTTTGAAATGGAAAACAAAGAAAATTGTAAACACCCATTAGTGTTTAATGTTTTAGAGGTAATCAGAGGTAATGATACAATTGTTTTTTAAGTTCTACTTGGAATTGGTTCAAGTCATGTAACCCCAGTAAAGAATAAATGATTAATGTTAACAATTTATTGCTTTAAGCTAAGTATGAGGATTGCACTCATTTTTATAAGGGTGTGTCCACATCTGGCGAATGCGCAGCTCGCGAGCCGTACGCGAACCGCTCGCGAGCTGCGCGCGTGCAATTAGGTAACGGTTTCTTGCGGCTCGCCAGATATGGACGCACCCTTAGATGATGCTTTTGGTTTTTGTTGGGAATAAAGAGACAGCCCGCACAAAAAAACCTATCCGATTATTCTTACATTTTAGCCTACATTTGCCTGACTAAACATGAAATCTTTGCCTCCTGCAATATAACCCGAGTCGTAAATAGCAGCTAAACTGTTCGACTAAGTTGCTCGACTAGTTTCAGGCCGCATCCGAAGCCCATAGTCATGAGCACCACACAGAGACTTTATTGGAATATTAGTTCTAGTATAAATTATTTTTAAATGTGTACTTTGTCCAATCGCTCATGACGTCATTGTCGTAGCGCAAACATATGTATAATATGTCAGATTAAATATTATAGTTAAAATCTGGCGTATTCCTATAGCTCGCCACTGTTACCTATCCAGAATAAAAATCAAAGGTTTTAGAAATATGGGTGTCGGAGAATGAATCGTTGTTTGTGTAAATAGAAATGTAATCATTATTTATTTTGTAGATATCTTTCAGTATTGAAAACTGTCTGTTTATCCTTAAAAATATATAGCTACAAATTTTGCTCAGAGCTAGAATTGTTTTGTTTGCGATCCTAAAGAAAATTATCTTGTACTAAGGCCTGGCTACCTAATGTGGTTTTTACCCTATATCATTGTTGTGATGGGACCAAAAAATTCGCTGATTTCTTTATTGTTAGAGAAAAATATCAAATATATGGGTCTCTTGTTAAAAAAAATAATTGTTGAGCAAATGAAAATTATTTACGATTGTATTATACATACATATGTGTGCGATATTTTTGTGTCGTCTCTTGCATGTAAATAAGCGCATTATTTTATTACTGAATTTTCTCGTAAAATATTAATATTAAACCTTTTTATCCAACAATGAAGTTTCTATGCAAATATCATACATCTTTATCTTTATCTTTATATATATAATTCTTCTGTGAGTGTGTATGTCACTGAACTTCTCTCAAACGACTGAACCGATTTTGATGAAATTCAAGAGAAATGTGAAGATGTGTGTTCAAGGGGATCTGGGAATGGTTTAGATTTACAAATAAGCCCGGCAGATGGCGCTGCAGTCGACGTTTAGGTTATTTATCCTAAACAGCTGACCTAATTTGAATGAATTTTTGTTCATAAATTCAAATGGATATGCAGGACAACGTCTGTCGGGTCCGCTAGTCTATTTATATAAAAGCCTTTTATCCTAAACTACTTACTAAACGAATTCTTACCGACATATCAAACCAAAAAAACGAACAATAAAATAAAAAATAAGAACATTTCAATAAGTATTTACTCCCTTATTCTTATATCCTTGTTCTCTATTATATATAAGTTACTATATCTAAATATTTTTGTATAAAAACTATCGTGACATATACTAAATTAACTCGTCGAGTACCGGTTTTGTAGACACAATTATAGAACAATAGGTTGCGGTTACCGGTGACCGCTTGGTGTTTGACAGTTTAATTGAAAATAACGGGTTACTTACGTGAAGTGCGTGCCGCCATATATAAGGGCCGAAACACATAACCGCGTTGCGTCGCCGCAACGCTAAAATCGGCAGTTTGTGTTGCGGCGTTGCGGCGCCGCCACGCAGCGTTCGTTCTAGCATAGCAGAGTAATGTCTGCTTAATAACAAATAAGCAATAAGTTTTACACGATGGTCCATGGCAGAGACACGTCTATCCAAAATAAAAAATCACGACGAACTGCTTACCCTACCGACCGACAACAAAACTCTCTTTTTCACGACGCCGCAACGCCGCAACGCACCGCAACGCAAACTGCCGATTTTAGCGGTGCGGCGACGCAACGCGGTTATGTGTTTCGGCCCTAAGAGTCCCGTTCTGACTTGAAACTAGTCGAACTGTGCTCAGTTACGTCACGTGAGAACTGTTGTTTTTCATCATTAATATACAGTATGTTAGGTTAAACGAGGGACATATTCAAACCCATAATAGTGTATACTCACATGAACCTAACAAACATATAAACGAAACGAAAACACTAATAAATAACAGACAGAACCATAAAAACGCTTCCGCTTACGCTTACGGGTTTCGGCTTAGCGGGCTTAAGCGCGCTCTATTCTTTTTGGCAAGATCGGCGCATGATTTGCAACGCCAGTTACTTTATGTAAGTACTGTTTCTGTTTACAAGTTCACTTGTTGCGCGCTCAGTGTTGATGATGATGTATTTTATTAGACAATTACCTCAAAAATTTTGGTTATAGGTTTTTTACATATTCGGAACGAGAATCGAATACTGAATACCCTCCCTCAATAAGTCCCTCGTTTAACTTAACACACTGTATAAAAGCGACACAATAATATCGCACAGCTACTAATTCTTATCCAAAAAAGTATTTAGCTTATTTTAAAATGTAAATGAAAAAATGCCAATTTGTATTCGCATTGTTTATATATTACATGTATATGTACTTATAGCTCTGTAATACATAAATGTATCATTTTGTAAAGTTTTATCTCCTACCCTCTATCTTCTTGTCTAATACACAGTTGTTTTTAATATCATGTTGTTTTATTTTTACCTGCCTTGAGCTTGACCTTGACTACCTCGTTGCCCGAATGGTCGCAAGTGCGACTGCCGAGCAAGGGGTCTCGGGTACGATTCCCGGGTCGGGCAAAGTATTACTGGGAGTTTAAAAAAAATCTCAGTCGTAGCACGGAGTCTGGAATTGTGCCCGGTATATGGTAATAGGCTCAGCCCTTGTTACATCGGACTCATAACATTAATAGTGAAAATTGGGTGTTACCTCTGCCTACCCCTTCTGGGATAAAAAGCCTGATATCGTGCTGAGAAAAGCTCTACTCGTTTGCGTTAAGTCTTCGCAAAAGAGTAGAGTATTTTTACGATTTTTAGTAAATTTGATACGGATAGTTTCAATAGCAAACTAAAATGGCGCTTGATTATCCCAAACTTCAAACCTTTAGACAGGTGCTTGTCACTCAAGGGGGACGGGATAATTAAAAATTATAAGCCAACCTGGGCTTATAATTTCTCCTCACGATGTTTTCCTTTACCGTTGCTCAGTGGTGTCTAATAATCTTAGAAAGTACATATAAATCGGAAAAAGTCACATTGGTACTTGCCGTTGGTAGGTTTCGAACCTACACCCTCGTGCATGAGAAGCAGGCGTCTTCAACCTCCGAACCACCACGACATCATCTTACATATACATATGTTATGCAATTATACACACACAGGTAAGTATCTCCTCCTAGTAAAAGCCAGTGCTCTGGGAATATGTACGCAAACTATTCATTGTTCGTTGCAAAGGCCTTTGACACAACCCAACAATGGCCGTATACGATACCGTGGCGGTGTTGTGAAATAGTAATTGACAGGACATAATACTGTGGTTGTTGTTTGGCGAAGGGGGTAGGCAGACCGCAGATGTGGATAAATAGACCTTGAGTTATGTAGCAGAGAGAGTGGGTTTTTACTTTGATCAACCCTGGAATTGAACCCATCCGCCATGTTGGAGAGGCTCACCGGCCACTAACCAGGTAGTTGGAGCAATTTATTTCAGTTTTGCAATCTCAAATTGTTAGTAAAATACGTATGTACGGAATCTGGAAATGCGTGCAGTGTCATTCGAAAGATGTCAAAGAAGTTTGCTATCATAATGAGTGTATATTTTTTTTTTTTTTTAATCTCATTTATTGTAAGGATTTTTGTACACATTTTGTGACGATGTCAATCCCATCGTGCTTCTACATAACGAATGTATTTACAACTTAAACAAAATAACTTAGTCTACTTATCTATCTAATATAAAGGAATATATAATTTTCGCAGCTTCAGATGTAGGCTTACCTAAAATACCATTAAACATTCCAACATCCATTGCTGACAGTTTCATGGAGTTGAGAAGTGTATTTCTCTTATTTGTATGTCGGACACATTCCACCAACACATGCTGCACGTCTTCTATTCTGCCACATATCTCACAATTAGGGGAGTCTGATTTTCGCATGAGGTGAGCAAAGTGGTTTAGTGGAATGTGTCCTGACCGTAATCGAAGTGCAGCAACAATTTGTCTTCTATTCAATTTTGACCCGGTAAACCAAGGTATATGAGGAGGCTCACATTGTATACTTTTATACCAAATCCCTTTTGTTTTCGATCTTTCGTTGAAATGTTCCTTCCAAAATGAGTTGTTTAATTTTCTGAATTTGCTTAAAATTTCCGTATACCCTGGCAATAAATCCCGTATTTGTGTACCGCCCTGAATTGCATTTTTAGCTAGTCTGTCAGCCTCCTCATTACCCAAAAGTCCGACATGAGACGGAATCCACTGGATAACGATATTTCTATCAACCTGGTTAAAGTGCTGAATTTGTTTTAAGATTTTGTATGCCGTGGCTAAACCCTTTGATCCATTATGAATGCATTTTAAAATATGCTGTAACGCGCTTTTACTGTCCGTACACATCACAACATTTTTCACATTTAGTTCTAATGCATACTTCAAAGCCTCGGAAATGGC